TTAGGGAATTTGCCTATTTTGTTCCCTGATCTGTGTAGTCATTTTGTTATACTAAAATGTTGTCTCAGCCTATCTCTTTCCCTTCGTAAATCAAGTCTTTTAAAACCTTTATTTCTGAAAGTGAGACACTTCGCAAATATTTATTTAGTGGCCCCAGTTAAAGTTACTAGTCTTCATTATGATAAATACTGGTTATTGACTTTTTTTTTGAGAAATAGCATACTTTGTTGTATGTATTTCGAAGGGTTGTCTAGTCGTCTTCTGAAGGGCCTGCTCCCTCCCAGATTGCTCCATGGTGAACTGGGACACGCCATCAGTCTCCTCCTCAGAAGAAAGTCTCTCCACTGCCCTGGCCACCGGCCCATCTCCTGGGCTGTGGGGTGGGCCAGGGACCCCCTAGCATCTTCCCAAGAGGGCTGCACAGCTGGAAGGCCATGAGGGCCTGGCTCAGCATCAGCAGCAGAGTGACACGGTGGCCGTCGCCGCCGCCAGCAAGTCCTTCGGTGTCTTGCAGGAGGCTTCAATCCATGACACTGGTGGCTCCTTGACCTTCAGCGGCCCAACAGTCATCATATAGGTGTCTCCTTCCCCCAGGAACTCAGGATGCTGCCCTCTCTTTGAGTAGGAACAGCCAAAGTCACAGCGGGGTACCCTTTAGAAGATGATTCCATCCTTCCGTGAGTGTGCACCGTCACATTTAAGTCAGAGTAGTTACAGAGGACACTCCCCCAATAGGATGTTGTGAAACAACTTGCTACCCTTCAAGCACACTGTTAGAGATTCCTCTTCAGCTCTCAGATCCTCAGGCAAACAGCTGATTGAATAGGTGTAATGCTAGGGGAAAGGAGGAGTTGTCTTTTAAGGTTAAGTACTACCTGTTTTATTTAGCTTTCCAGAAGTGCATGTATGAAAGACCCATACATATATAGATTGTATCACATTCTAATTAAATACAGAAAAAAAATCAAATTGGGGGTATTTTAAGTGAAAGAAAAAGCAAATGCACAACAGTGTATATACTGTATAACCAGTTGAACAAAGAAGGAAAAGGAGAAGAATATATAGTTGTATTTTATTCTGTATTCATTAAAAAAAAAAATCTTTGGAAGAAATCAGAAGAAACTATCAACAGTGATTAGCAGTTGCGAGGGTCAGGCAGCACTACTGGGCAGTTGGAGGACGAAGGATGGAGAAGGATTTTCAATGTGTTCATTGTTTTCATTTAAATATATTTGTTGGAGTTGCAATATCATAGCAATTTTTAACAGCTTTATTAAAGTATAATGGACACACAATAAACCGTACATACTCATAGTATATATACATTTTTATATTTTTTATTTTTATGAGCCATGTGATATATTGCTTGTTAAAAATGGAAGGAAAGAAATTAATTAAAACTTTAAAAATTGGCAAAGTAAATAGATAAATAGCAAAGCCAGCCTCTCCTGGGTTTTGTTATAGGCACTTGAACCCCTGTGGTTCAAAGAATTTTTATTCCTTTTGACTTCCTGTAGAAATTTTGGGTAAGAGTAGCTTGGTGGTTTTGCTAACCATAAAATACTCTCTTCTCATCTTTTCAATCTTATCTGATGTAAAAGTTTTTTAAAACAAAACTGTCACAGACATGTCCCTCATCTCAGGGTATTGACATTCTTCAGAAGAACAGTAAATGCAGGGAAATTTCTAGATTAGAGTTGTAGTCTGAGTGAGGACTTAACCAAAAATCCTCTAGCTGTAAAAGAAAAAGGTTTAAGGCTATTGTTACCCCACCCTCCACACCCCCTTGGCAGGGCTCTGCCTCTCACATAGTCGATTGAGGATTACAGAAAATCAGACCTTGGGCATGAAGATAAGAGCAGGGCTCCAGCTGGCCCTGCAGCATGAAAATGTCACTTTATCCTCAGTTCGCGTCCACTTTTTGTTTCAGTTACATCCGTACATTAGGGGCACTTGGACCAGACCTTTTCTTGGACGGGGAAGGGTCTTTTTGTGTCTGGAACTATGACTCTGGTGCTCTGGGTGAGAATGACCATTTCTGCCCGGTAGGACTGTTGGCCGTAGCCTGTCTTTGGTTTCAGTGATTTGGGCTTAGGAGAGTTGGCTGAAGGGAAGCAAAGATGAGAACTTTCTAATGCAACTTTTGCATGTTTGCTGTCTTCTCCCTCCCTTTGTCCCGCGATCTGCTAACCCAGATAACTGCTTTGTCCCATCCGGATTTTATCATTGAGAGGAGCCAATCAGACTCGGAGATTCAGTGCCATTGTTGGAATCAGCTTGCTCTTGTTCTCGGATTTCCACTTTCTGTGCCACCTGGGCACCCTCATGGACAAGTCACGTCATTCTCTCTCAGTCCACTTTCGTTATGGGAAGAGATACTTAGGGGAAACAGGGTGACCCAGTAGCAGGAGCTCTCGTTGGGGAATCAGACGGTCTGAGCACAGGACTTTACATTTCTGTGAGCTGTGTCACCGAGCAGTCAGGACTTGAGTCACTGCTATATCCTTGGTAGGTGCTTTGCAAAAATGTATTGTCGATTGACTAGGACCAATTCTCTGCTCTAGTTTCTTCAGTTGCAGATAGAGATGACTTTTGTACTTCATTGCCATCAAGCTATACTAAAACAAATGCATTAATGTAATGAAGACAAGAAATGGACAAATAATGTGTTATGTGGAGCTGATTTGTAAAATGTGGGGGTGGATGAGATGATTTCTCAGGCGCCTTCTAATTCTGGGTGTGTCTGGCTCTGTGAGAAAGGGCGCAGCTTGGTTGAAGCTGGACTATAGGAGGATGGAACTGCTTCTGTTTTTATCTGCTGAGCGATGGCTTTTAGGTTCCAGATGGAAGGCAGCTGTGTTCACCACTGGCGTCTTTAGAGCATTTTTCTTCCTTTCTCTGTTTGATGAGTAGGTGCTTATTTACTTACTCACTTTAGATAACTTAAATAATTTTGTCCTCAAAACAAACTTTGTGAGGAGACAAGGCCAATATTTTATAGATGAGGTCTACATATTATAGATGAGGAAAGTGTGGTTCAGAGAGGTTATGTGATCTGTCCAAAGTTACGTAACAGGCCAATGACGAGGCCACTTCTCTTTATGTCCTGCTCTCTCTTCTCCATGCTTGAGTTTCTAACTTGTAAGTCTGAAATTGGGAAGTAGGACCCAGAGATATTTGAGGGTTCTACCATCCTGCTCTGAAATCAGTTAATTATTTGTTTATTCAGTATCTTAAGGCGCTTTTGGAACAAGGAGGATTTTACTTACTTGTAACAGTGTAAACTGAGTATCTTATGTGCAGAGCACTGTGAAGGTAAGAAATATATACAAAACCTCTGCCATCAAATAGTTTATCCTCCAGAAGTTGAAGGCCAACAGTAGACAGCTAGTTTTATGTTGTAGAGGATTTCATATAAGCAACAATGGACCAGGGGAGATAGGAATCAGAGAATATCGAAGGCCAGGGTGAGGTCCAAGCTATGGGCACCAAACTCTGACTAGTGTTAATTAGGAGATGGTGAAGTATAGGAATTTGGCAAGACTAGGGAAGCATTGGATCCAGTGTAAAGGGCTCTGTATGTTTAGGTTGTTGACCTAGAGTCCTAGTTTAAGGTGCGAGATTTTCCAAGGCTGGGAGTCAGTGATTCTCTTAAGAATGGGGGGGGTGGGGCGGGGGTGTGGGTGGAGCTGGCCCAGTGGCGCAGCGGTTAAGTTCGCACGTTCCACTTCTCGGCGGCCCGGGGTTCGTCAGTTCGGATCCTAGGTGCGGACATGGCACCACTTCGCACGCCATGCTGTGATAGGCGTCCCACATATAAAGTAGATGAAGATGGGCACGGATGTTAGCTCAGGGCCAGGCTTCCTCAGCAAAAAGAGGAGGACTGGCAGTAGTTAGCTCAGGGCTAATCTTCCTAAAAAAAAAAAATCATTAAAAAAATCATTAAGAATGAGCATAACGGGTCAGCCTCGTGGTGTAGTGGTTAAGTTTGCAAGCTCTGCTTCAGTGGCCCAGGGTTTGTGGGTTCAGATCTTGGACACAGACCTACACACTGCTCATCAAGCCATGCTGTGGTGGTGTCCCACATTCAAAATAGAGAAAGATTGGCATAGATGTTACCTCAGTGACAAGCTTCCTCAAGCAAAAAGAGGAAGGTTGGCAACAGATGTTAGCTCAGGGCCAGTCTTCCACACCAAAAACAAACAAACAAACAAAAAAAACAAGACATAAGAAAGTGAGAGGTAAGCCTGTGGAGGGTCAAGGACTAGAGGGGATTGGCTGGCCAGGGTCACAGCTGTGAAACTGCCTTGGGTGGAACTGGGTACATCCCAGGCCCCAGCAGTTAGCTCAGCAGTTGGTATGACAAGCGTGTCAGCCATTTTTGTCCCTCCTCTTCCTTAGAAGGCAGCTGAAATTTATTGAACCTCTTGTTTTCCTGCCTCTCCTTGGGCTGCTATTGCGCCTTGGCAGCGGGAGGGGGCGGGGTGGGTGTGCATGCATGTGTGCACTCACATATGCACACACTCCTACCATCGTGGGAATACTCAAGCCATCAGAAAAGATTTTTTGTCCCTATAATATGGGATTGCTAACCGGGTCTAGGCTGTTGTTCTTTGTGCTGGTTTTCAAGAAATAAGCAAATAAAATGGAGGAAACCCATTTGGAATATAATGCTTCAAGTAGCTTTTTATAGCTCTTTTAATTTCATACTACAAGTCACTTAGTTCTGGGCCCCAGGTGATTATAATTCATAAATATGTCTTGTTTTCTCATCTTTGAGTTTTTATATTTTGAGTTAAAACTGAATTATCATGACTACATTTTTCTGAAACCATACCTATTTGTCCTTTTTGTTTGTTTGTTCCAAGAAAACAATGCATCAAGCGTGGAATTAGATTAATGGAGTAAATATTATGAATCATACACTCACTCTAATCTGATGCTCTTTCTTTCTTTGACCCCATGTTTTGTTTTCTGTCTGTCTTTCTCCCTTCGTGTAGGCTTTTCAGTTCAGTGTGAAGCTGTCGGAGCGAGGGAGCAAAGGTAAAGAATGATGTAATGAACTGGCCGCCCTAAAGCATCTTTTGTTGTGGCATGGTTATTCCAGTCATCTCTTTATGAATCAGATGTGAGGGGCTGCTTTGTGGAAGGAATCCTTTGCAAGAGCACATCAGCGGGAAAGAGAAAGAGACATTCACTTGGAGGGCTCTTGCTGAAAATGGGTTTAACTCTCCTTTTGCCAGTCACCACCAGCCTGACCTCATACAGTTGTAGTACAATGGAGTGGCTGAGCCTTTGAGCACACCACCATTACATCATCGTGGCAAATTAAAGAGGGAGGTGGGAAAAGAGGACTTATTGTTGTCATGGCCCATGAGATGATTGGAACTCAAATTGTTACTGAGAGGTTGGTGGCTCTGCTGGAAAGTGGAACGGAAAAAGTGCTGCTAATTGATAGCCGGCCATTTGTGGAATACAATACATCCCACATTTTGGAAGCCATTAATATCAACTGCTCCAAGCTTATGAAGCGAAGGTTGCAACAGGACAAAGTGTTAATTACAGAGCTCATCCAGCATTCAGCGAAACACAAGGTAAAGGCTTTATTTTTTTCCTTTTTAAAATAAATGGACACACTGAAGGGGGAATAATTTTAAATGAAGCCTCATTTTTAAGGGGAGAAAGTAATTTGAGGAAGTTTTGGTTGCTTTTTAAACTTTGGTACCTTATGATACCTCAAAATAATTTACTAACCATATTGTCACCATTAAGAATATTTCTAAACTATACAGAAAGGTTGACTTGTTTTAGTTTGGTCAAGGGCTATATTTTCCTATTAATGTCTTGCTAAAATTGTTTTATTATTTTAAACAGTAATAAAAAGTTATAATTAATAAATTTTATTATTAGTAATTGTGTTAATATATATAGTATGTGTATTATTAATAATTAATACCTTATTTTGTATTATCTACAAATTTACTGAAAGGACATCATTGTATTCAAGTGCCTTGAAAAAAGAGTAGAAACTAACTACATTAGAAGTGCTTTTATTTGTGGGAATGTAAGGTGAGGTTGGTTAAGACTTCAGGATATTGTCTTCAAGGAAATTTATCCTTAGGGTACCACACTGTCATCTTTGTGGTAGGTAAGACTGTTTGTTTTCTTCAGGAGTAAAAATGAGTTCGTGTTTTAATTTTACCAAACAACTGATTTCTTTGTTATTATGTAAAAATCATCTTTTAAATGTTTCTTTAGTTCAAGGGTCATTGTGTTTATTTTGCATATTATTTTGTTGTACATGTTTTACCCTTTTAGAGTGTGAAGGATTTAAAACCAAGGAATTTTGAGCACATCTACACAGAAATAGCATCAAGTTTGCCTTTTAAAAGTTGATTTTTTACAAAATTTAAACCTTTTGTATGCTCGGTTTATCCAGTAAGTCACCCACATCTCATTTGTATTCAGATTATTAATTGAAAACGGGAAGCGGGTATTTGCTTCAGCACCAGTAGTCGATGGGATTATTTTCTTCGCCTGCCTTCCTAACTGCTCACATTTGCATTTTAGGTCGACATTGATTGCAGTCAGAAGGTCGTAGTTTACGATCAAAGCTCCCAAGATGTTGCCTCTCTGTCTTCAGACTGTTTTCTCACTGTGCTTCTGGGTAAACTGGAGAAGAGCTTCAGCTCAGTTCACCTGCTCGCAGGTGAGGCTCGCGGGAGAGTTGAAAGGACTCGGAACCTCGCTGAGTTCTGTGATTAAGCAGTGTTTCACAGCGAGCTCGAAGTACAGTAGGTCATCACAACCTTGAGGTTATTCTGTAAGATGAGTTATTTATAGCTTTTGGTTGATGTAACTCTTCTCCTCAGCTTGAATGCCATCATTCTTGCACATTGGTCAGTGTGTTTTGACTTGGCTCAAATGCCCCTTCAGTTGGTATTTACTAGCTGGAAGTGCCACATGGATCTGTGTGCCCATAGAAATAGCTCAGAGCCAGCTGCTTCTGCCCAGGAATCTTTCCATTCACCTGTGATAAGACACCAAACGTTCTGCATCTCAGCTCCTGCTGTTAGTTCCACCCCTTATGGCAAGAAGCAGACCAGCATTCCGATGTAAAGCTCTTATTCAACATTTATAGTTAAAGTGAACTCCAGCAGTCAGATCACCAGTCTTGCACGTTATGAACAATGAGATAGGGAGAGAATGTGTGTACAATATTTCTTCTAATAATTAGGGGGAATATTTTAAAACTTATTTACATGTGTATTCTGGGTGGTTTTTTAATAAGTAAAAAAGTCTCAACTTGCAAATGCTAAGCAACCAGATGATTTTATAAAGTGCATGAGTAGGACTAAATATTTTATATCTGCCCTAAAGGAGGGCAGTGTGAGAGTTCCATTGATTGAATTCCAAAGCAAAGTGTTCATTCTTTGCTTCCCCTGTGTTGCAGACGTTACTAAAACCCTTTCACTCACACTGGTTCAGAGTGGGGAATATGGTTTGACGATGCACCGTAACCTTTAACACAAAGCTGCTGTGTCCGGCAGATTCTGCCACAGTGATAGGCATGAGTGCTTTTAAAAATTTGGCCTAAGAAAAACAAAATATTGATAGATATCACTTTCACACCTTTAATCTTTTGTTGCAAAGAGGGTACAGTGAACTTGATATATTGGCAATTAATTATTAGAAGTATAAACATTTCACTTTTAAGAGAATAGGGTTAAGGGGCTGGCCCCGTGACCGAGTGGTTAACAGCGCGCACTCCGCTGCAGGCGGCCCAGTGTTTCGTCGGTTCGAATCCTGGGCGCGGACATGGCACTGCTCATCAAACCACGCTGAGGCAGCATCCCACATGCCACAACTAGAAGGACCCACAGCGAAGAATATACAACTATGTACTGGGGGGCTTTGGGGAGAAAAAGGAAAAAAATAAAATCTTTAAAAAAAAAAGAGAATAGGGTTAATCAGTTGTTGGTGTGTTAACGCTTTTAAACTCCGCAGGTTTAAGTAAGATTTCCATGTCTCCAGTTCTCTCTCGTCAGCTTTGCTTCAGTTCTCAAAGAACAAGCGTATTTTCCTGTTTTTTTTTCACATCATCTATTGCCGCACCTTTTGTTTATGCTGTGATTCTGTCTGATCTCCCATTAGTATCCTTAAGTGAAGCCAGCTTGTCTTAGAATGTAGTTCTCAGAATTCTGTAATGAGAATTAAAATATTAGGGTCTGTCTCTTGTTGATGGGCACGTTCTTTTATTGGGAGTCTGTGTTCAATGTGACAGCTGTTATTAGAGTTCCACTAAACCAGGTGGGTGAGTTTAGGAACTCGTTTCATGCTTCTTGTAGCCACTGTGAGGGACTAACCTTGGAATCCTCTTAATGAGACCAGGGTTTTTCTCGAGGACACACCCAGATGTGCTTCATGGCAAAGTGCTTATCCCACTTCGCTCTCGCTTGAGACAGTTTTCCCTCTGGAGGGCTCTGACTTCACAGCTTGGCCAAGCAGACACTCCCATGGAGGAGTGAGGTCATGCTGTGTTTCTAGCACAGGTGTTTTAGTTGCTGGAATGCCCTTTCTCCCCTTTTCCAAAGAGCACTCCTTTGTTACCTGGAAGGTTCTTATCAGCCATGTGTGGCTTTGGGAGGGGCATTCATTGGTCAGTAAAGAAGAAAAAGGACTCAGTGTGATCATCTTGATCCACCCTAGGGACACTTGGAATGACGCACTGAGTCAGAACACCCTGACATCCCTAGCTCATACAGGAAATGTTTCCTAGGCCTAAACGAAAGTCCGTTGAGGCAGCACCAAGAACCACATTGAAGGTATTGATAGCACCATATCGTCATCCACCCTCGAGAATCCTGTATTTGTTTTAGCTTAAGAGGTGGCTTCAGGGACTGAATTGCCTTGTTTGGGAGTTTCTCTTATGACACTGAAGAGAGGGTTCTGGATGGTTAAAAGCCTTCTCAGCCATCCGAAAGCCTCTGACCAGTTGGAAATTCCCTTGGTTAGTGAGTCTGTTCCTTGGAGAGACAGAAAAGTGGAGTAAGTGGAAGAGAGTGCTGGGGAAGTTATGGCCATCAACTTTTGGCAGCCTGTTTTTTGTCAAGGTTTAGCTGCTCAGAGGTCATTCCAGGGGTGAGGGATAGAAGGACATGTTGACAAATGTTTCTTAAATGTGCTGCAACAGTTAGAGACACTCATCAGCCTCATGTGGATGTGTGTGATAATAGAAAGACTAAGTGGTCTCTTGGAATAATTTCTCCATCAGTTGAGAGCTTTCAGCTACTTGGAGATTTTTCAGGAAAAAAACGTCAGATATGTGAGATGGTTTTTTGTGGTCAGTGTGTCTGGAAGTGAAGAATTGTGGCCCAGATTCCATTCACATTCTCAGGACTACCTTACCCAGAGAAAAATGACTTTGAAGAAGGGAAACGAGGACTTCTCCAAGGAACTGGACGAAGCATCTTAATGAGCTCTTTCCCTCAAGCAAGAGGAAACCCAGACTTACCTATAGGACCAGTTACATCGGCATAAAAACTGAAGGCTTCCTGAAGGAAGTGGGGATTGGATTAGGGGGAGCCATGCTGGAATGCACTGGGCTTAATTCTTAAGTGTGGAACAGCTCCTGCTTTGAGGGGGTGGCTAGCCCAGTAAGCCTTAAGAGGGGTTCTGTTAAACCACTTTGACAGCTGATTATCAGTGAGACCAGATTCCCAAGCTTTCTGATCCTGAAATTTAGAACCCAGTTCTGCAATGAGCTCTACCTCTATGGGCCACATCTGAGGGCCTCCACGGCCGGGAACCTTGACCCCTGCCTGCCGACTTTCCCTTTTTCTAAGTCCAGTCAGTATTCTAAACAAAATGATTAATATTTGACAACCATATACCATCCTGTCACAAGTCTTTCGTTATTATCTTAAGATGTTATTTAAACTTTATAGTGTCACTTGCTCATTCGTTAGCTTACCTCGTCTACTGGATTCTCTTTTCCAAGCTGAGGACTATGTCTTGTTCATCTTTGTGTTCCCCACAAGGCCTAGCACTTCTTAAGTTTTCAATAAATATTTGAGATATATATTATCTTATATGTAGGCTTATACCATTTGTATTTCGTATGATTTATTAGTTTAGAATATAAGTGTATTAAACAGTGACAAAACTAACCTGAAAGTGTGTGAAAGCTTGAGATTGTTTTGAAATAAATGATTTGCAGTGTCTTTGCTCAGATAGAGCAAATGTGTAGCTGCTGTGGGAAGAGTATCTGATATGAAAATGTTTCCATCTGTTTAAGTAGATTTAAACATGCTTTTAAGATCTAATAAAAATGCTGCTGCAATTAAACAGTGCTAATTTTGTGTGATGCTTAACTACTGAACTTTGATAAGGAGCTAACAGCTCTAGAAACCTAGCTCCACTCATAGGAACATACGTCCTTGAATCCATGTGAGTTAAGGATGGTTGAAATAGTTTATATTTTTACGTTTATATTTTTAAATGTAAATGTAAATTGATTATTCATTTAGCCATTAGTAAGTCTCTCAATAACCAAGCCAAACCAGACCATAGCATTGTTTCCCCCACAGAAGATTAAAGGGTTTTAATTATCAGTAGCAGCCTCATCCTAGCCAAAAAGAATGAATTTGGATCCCTTTGGAAAGTTCTCCGTCATCATTGATTGATAGGTAATAGCAAAACCATTTTTTCCAATTTGAAGTCAGTTATTGAGTAAGCACAGTTTAAAGATGCACATATGCTCCTGCAGCGGTCTTTAAAAACAAGACTTAAGATGGATGGAAACTAGATTTTTGGTGGTGAACATGATGCAATCTATATAGAAACTGAAATATAATGATGTACACCTGAAATTTACAGTGTTATAAACCAATGAGACCTCAAAACTTTTTACAAAAAGATTTTTAGGAAGAACACAAGACTTAAGAATTTAAATTAATGGAATGATGGAATGGGTGTGACATAAACATTTGTTTCACAAAAAGGACTTTATAACTGAGGATGCAATTGTGAGGATCGTATTAGATAACGCATGTGAAGTCTCTGTATCAATAGTCTTTTTTAAAAAAACTATTATCATTATGAGTTAGGAAACAAACAGTTCCCGACATTGACTTATTCATCAACTATTTTGGTCTCATTAACTTTCAGAAAACTAGTTCTTTTTAAAAAACAATCTTGTTTCTTGGCCTTCACTTTATTCATTATGTATTACTTTATTCTACTTGCCTTTGTCTATTATATTTCTAAGGTGCCTGTTGAAAATAAATATAGAAGAAAAAAGAAGAACTGCTGAATTTGGACCTTTATTTTGTGCTAACATAGAGGAAAGAGAATAAATGGGTTAATTTAGTAGAAATGAAGATCAACCTACAGATGAAAAATACTGTGCTATTATTTCCTTCTCTTTCTTCGCTATTGTAACTGAGTAAAAGCAGAAGGGACCCACAACAGTTTACTCGTTGTATCACACCCATTTCTGTCCTGTGATGAGGCACAGGTTAGAACGCTACAGCCGTAAATAGATCAGAGACTTCAGCCCTTTCATTTACAAATGAGGAAAATAACAGAGCCCTTGAAAGGCTCTCCCAAGCTCTCCCTGTTCTCGCTGTGCGCCCAGGCCCACAACCGCAATAATCCCAGAGTCTTCTGGAATTTCACCAGGAGGGCTGGACTGGGAATCCAGGGTACCCATTTCAGATCAGGCTTATCCCGAAAGGCTCTTTTTGTGGTAGCTCTTTCTCAGCCTCTTTGTGGATATTCTTACCTTGTGTCATATTCTTACCTCACATTTTATGGAAGAAGCAAAATAAAAATATACTGTACATAAAACATTGTAAAGCATTAAAGTATCTTAGCTGGGGGGGTCATCAAATAAAAGTCTGACTACTCTGTTCTGTGCTGAAGTATAGCTCTGAATAATGATAGGAGATGCCATTTATTAAGCAGTTTCTGTGTTATTTGATACAATGTTGTGTACAGCGTTCAAGGCTTTCATAAACATTTAGTCTCTGATCACAGGTAGGTCTTAGATTAGTGTTTGCTACGGTTAGAGGCCAAATACATATTTCTTTGTTTTGAGTTAGATTTGCTAGTGTAGTTAGAGCTGGGGGTGAATAAAAATGCATTTGACTCTTTCTAGAGTCAAGTTTTGTTTTTGATTTAACAGGGACCTGGATTCAGTCAACAGGTCTGTGTAATAAGCGTATAACTTAACGGCGTCAGTTGTTGTCCTTCCTTATGGAGGTGTGGTAGAACCTGATCTCCCTGCTTACAGATTTAGCTGTATGTGCTATTGCTATCATCAGTTCTGTTCTCTAGTTTGGCATATCTTCTGTCCCTTGCCTAGAGAAGGGAAGTCTTCAGTCATTCCGTTTCAAACTCTGTAGTAGTTGGTGAAAGAGATTGAAATGAATGGGTTTCAGTAAAAGGACTGCAGTTATTCAGGAATTGGCTGTTCTTGTGTTTAAAAAGCTGCAGTGACTGAGAGCCACTGAAAACAGACTAAAAATAGGTACTATTTTGCCCGCTGGTTGCCATGTATTTGCTGGCTCTGCTGCTGAGCTCGGTTTGCATGAGGCTAACCAAATTGGATCATCTTTTCTACAATTGCTACCTGCCATGTAGTAAGCCAGTTTATGTCACTTCCCAGCTACCAGTGGCTAAGACGTAATGCCTGAGGCTGTGTCTTTTTAAAACATGGACTACTGACCAGACTAAAGATAGTTCCTTGGTTCCTTATCTTGATATTTTGCACAAGCCAAACAAAAGCACTTTAGACGACAACGGTGACATCAGTCTTCCTTTGCCCCAGTAGTGTCACCGGTATGCTTTGGAGGAACGCCAGGTCCAGGCCTTTTCGTTCAATCAGCCTCTCATTGTTTCATGGGCAGTTTTGTGGTTGCACCGTGGGCTGGGCTCTGGGGAAGAGGGTACTGGAAAAGCAAAAGTCTTGCCCCTGCCCTTGGGAACCCAGCGGTTAATTTGGGGAAACACGTTTAGAGCGAGTGAAACAGAGAAGCATGCGGTACGTGCTAAACTGCGTAATATGGTGGTGAGGGATGATTCGGTGTCTGCAGAAACTGGGGAAGAATTCCTTACAGCAATGGCATTTTAATCGAACCTTGAAAGATGAATAAGATTTTGGTGGGGAGGGTCCTTGGTATTCTAACTGAGGGGGGCGAAGCATGATTAAAAATGTCAGGAATGAACAAAGATTTTAGGGGGCAGTCAAGGGACCAGAGTAGATTTTTTGTGAAAGGGAGAAATGGGAATTGAGAGGAAAAGAAATCAAATTATGCAAGCCCATTACACCAAGAGGACAAATTCGTGCTTTGTTGTGGTGGGTACTGTGAGCCTGTCATCTCTCAGTCATCAGATCTTTCTTCGGATCTCTCAGGTCTGTCTGCTCTCCTCCTCTTCTGCTACCAACTGAGTCAAACCAACATCCTCCCTCCCTTGGATTGGCTCCAAGAGCCTCTGACTAGTGTTCTCATATCCTCTGTCTTGCCATCTTCTAATCCATTACTCACACTATAGCAAAGTTATATTTTTATTTTATATTTTTAATGTAATCCAGATTATATCACTCCTCAGTTTAATACGCATCAGTGCTCTTAGGATAAATTCCCAAAACCCTAGCCGACTTACAAGGCCCTGTGGTGTCTGGTCCTGCTTACCCCTCGAACTTCATCTAACGCCACTTTAAGTCTTCAGTTTGTTTTTTGTTTCAGCTGTTTAGGCCTGATCTCAGTTGCTCTAAATCTCCAGCATCAATCTCTCTGGACTGGGACAGAGGCTCTCCTCTCCCCCTCGTTCACCTGGGTGTCTCCTGTTGGACTCACCGTAGTCGTTGAGCCTTCCTGAGCTACCAGGCAAAGTTGGTTTCCTCTGTTATACACACTCCTATGGCCACCTACCATAATGAGTTAGTTATTCATCTAATTATTTAATGTTTGTCCACTAAACTGTCAGTTCCAAAGAGGGCCTCTGTCTTGGTCACTGCTGTCCCTATTACCTAGCACTGTGTCCAGCTCACAGTAGGTCCTCATTCACTGTCTCTTTGAACTTATGTGTGACCCTGGTGGTCTCTAGTATTGTTTGGTTGACTGAACAGATAGATACCCCTTTCTTCCTCACTGCTCTCTGAAGTCTCCAGGGAAGCTGTGCAGTTGGCCGAAGAGGAGGACTGTTTGGTAGAGTGGAATACACAGAAGTGGACTTAGGGGAGAGCCTGCTCCAGGATAGATTAGAAAGCTTTGAGCTTCGCCTAGAAAGGCCTGAGAAATGAGTTGTATGGTGATTCATGGACAGTTCACACGTTAGTCAGATTTGATTCTTAAGAGTCTTTCTCCAGACACCAGACTCATATTCCCTTTTCCTCTTGACTCATAGAGTTATCTCCTGATGGATAATGTCATTTCATTGAGCCCTTTGATGGTCGCTATAGACGTATCCAGCAGCCACTTTGTCCTCATCTGGGGGATGGTTGTAGTTGGCCTAGTTTCCTTGGGGATGTGCCCGATTCCCTGAGCCATGGAGGTATTGCTGGACTCTCCAGGCCGTTATGGAATTCTGAGCCACTTAGGTCCGTAAGTGTCCATCAGAGAAGGTTTTCTCTCCACTTTTTGTGTAAAGTCCCCTGGATATCACAGAAGCACAGTGAGGATTCAGTGTTGCTTTTGGATGACCAAAGCAGCATTTACCACTTTTACCTTTTTTTCTTTAGTAGCAGAAAAATGTTTTTCTTGCCCTGTGCCTCCTCTCTCACCCTCAGAGTCTTCTGGGGCATTGTGGTCTAGGAATAGGAAGCAGATTCTGGGCCCCCACCCATGCCAACATAGCTTTCAGCTTTGAATGGAATCCGGAAATCCCTTTGAACACCAAAAATATGCAAGACTTATGTCCATCAACAGCTATTCATTGTAACAAGGAAGGATTCAGTAAACATTGATTGAATTCTAGTTATGTGCCAAGCACTGTGCTAAATGCTGAGGTGATTACAAAGGAGTATGAGACACAATTCTCACCCACAGGCAGTTCACATGTATTACAGCTGGAGAAATCAGAGGTCATAACAAACAAGCAAAGATAATTCACGGTTATCAAGTCAATGCTAAATGCTCATTGCCAAATGATTGCTATAAATTTTATAGAAGTTCTAAGTTAGCAAGACCATATCCAGAAACCCTGGTCAAGGAAGATTTTTTTTTTTTTTTTTAGTGCAACAGAATAGATTTGAAACTGTCAGAGAGCAGCTCTTATAGTAGGAGAAGACCATGTCCTGAAACTTGATTTGGTGGTGAGTGTATGTAGGTGTTCAGAAGGTTTTGATGTGAAATGTATTTTCTTGGTTATGGTAGAAAAATTTTGGACTATCCTGCTATGGAAGAGGTGTGTCGTGTGCTCGCCTGTGGTTTGGAAGGAGTTATAAAATGGATTCAAAGGACTGAATTGCCAAAGGCCTGAGATAGGAAAGCACAGGTGTATTAGGAAAGCAGTAAGAAGACTGATGCGCCTGTTCCACGTAGGGTGGTGGTAGGGGAAATGAGGTTGGACAGTAGATTGGGGTTAGATTATGAAGGGTCTTGAATGTCTCGCTGAGGGTTTTGGATTTTATTCTGTGGGTATTTGGGAGCAGAAAATACGTCAAAACTTTATCTTAGGATGCTTGACCTGGCTGCAGAGTGGAAACGAGTTGGAAAAAGGACAAGTGGATCAGAGAGTGCTATTACTGACTTTATGTAATAATGAGGTGCGTAGATCGTGGACTAGGGTGGTGGCAGGAGAGTGGAAAGGCAGGGACAGATGGAAGAGACTTTACATATATTATGCGTAAAGGAAAATCAGTGTGTTGGCGTACCGACTGAGTGCTGGTGAGATGCCTGGAAGAATGGGGCTGACACGAACAGGGGTGCGGAATGAAAGAGAGGAAAATATTGGCTTTAAATTTATTTTTAAAGTATCAGTAAGTCTTTCAAGTGAAAATGAAAATGTTAGATTGGAGTTTGGGACATCAAGCCCGAATATACAAACTTGGAAATCTTTGGTTTTCGGGTGAAAATGAGCAAATGTCATCTCCTTAATAACCTCCCCCTTCCATGCTGATGGAAGTGGAGGCCTTCTGAATCGTTCCTCCTCGGGAAGTCCCAGGGTGCTGTTCGCTTGGCTGTTGTCTTCATAGCTTCATAAAGTCACTGGGGGACCTGTCAGGTTGCTTCTGGGAATCTGGCTTTCCTACTACCGCACTTGTTCATTTTATTCAGCTGTTCCTTTTGTTTGGTTATTCTGGTTGCGATCTTCAAAACAATCTTTGTTTGAAGGCATTTGTTAAGAGTCCCGCCTGCCTTTGTGTATTTTAAGAGGAGTTGTTTCTGGGCATGGTTATGTGTTGCTCATCTGAAAGATCAATAAAATAGTAAAGATATCACTCTACATTTTCTGAGAACTCTTTACTAAACAACACGTCTGGATTTTACCAGTTGAATTGATCTAGATAACGTTATTTTGAGGAATAGCAAGATCTAGATGTATGAATCACAAGAAATGGCGAGTTGCATTATTTTTAGTATTTAGTGATTTTTTTTTTTATGCTAGGGCTTTGAAAAATTTGGATTCATTTGTTGTGTGGGAGATTACTGTGTTAATCCAAAAATTAGATTGAATTCCCCATTCCCCAACTGCGCCAAGTGATAGAGTTGTTCAATATAGAGTGAGCGTTTTTGAAGGGGTCATTTACGGGACAAGTTTTATGAGATGTAGGCTACTGGTCAGGCTTCCTGGAAGGTCTCCACAGAAATGTGTGTCTGTCCACTTACCTCTCCGATGGATGGAATAAGAGTTTAAAATCAATGCTTTATATCATTTGGGATTTTCCTCTTCAGTGCTGCTCATTGATCAGTGCTGCTGAGCGGAGAGTTGCTTAGACAGGACGTAGATGGAACGCTGCTAATGTTGTTGAGAAAACTATGCCATGCCCTCCACCTTCCCAGAAATGATCTTATGAAACCTGTGTGGCTTGGCTTACCCAGGCCAACCTGTATACACTAGAATATTACAGTTACATGTTTTTGTTTGCTTTTGAGGGGCTACAGAATTGTTGCCTTTATTTTTCTTTTCATTTTGTTTAACTAGTTTCAACTCTCCATGTTAACAGTTTGCTGACCCTGGAAGAATTGTCATCTTCCTTGAGTCTATTTTTAAGTGGCTAGAGAACAAAGTTGCCTAAATCAGTCACTTCACACTAAAGCATAAAATAATTACTCTTAGGAGCAATTAAAATACTTTATTGTGAAATATACATTTCAACATTTCAATTTTTAATATTGGAGTTTCTCTTTTGTGCGATAGCAAAGCAGCAGATTTTATTTTCAGTGTGGGGAGAACCGTCCTCTGCAGCATGGAGGTGACTGCCACTTAAATCGTTCACGTACGTTCTAGAATACGTAACTGAACGGGTTGTTTTTATGTCATAAATAGGGAGCCTTTGTTTTACAAAAGTATTAAATTACATGAGAACTATATTTAAAAACTGTGAAACTATATAAACTATGAAAATGATTTAATATACAAAAATTAAATTTCCATATGACTCTTTAGAAAAAATGTCTTTCATAAAGTAGAACTGTGTGTGAATACTGTTTCTTTATGGAGCCGTGGAGCCCGTCCCCACTGCGGGAGGGAGTTGCCTTGAATTCTTCCTTCCCTCTTCGGGCAGCCCTGTCAACTGGAGGAGCTCTAATGGCGTGCTACCTCTTTGAACTGAAGCCTCGGTGGAGAAGTCCTGATTCTCCCTGTGGGGAACCATCTTTAAAGTGATGGAGCTGACGTTTATCTCTAGTTTGGCTAAAAGGATGCAGACCCATTTTTAGAATTTGGGACTTAAAAAAATTTCTTGATGTCACTAAGCTGTAGTAAAGTGCTACTTTTGTTTATTATGTAAATATTCTTTCATTTTAAAAAGAAACACTGTGATCTGTAACTGATTGCAAAAGTCAGAGGGAAGAGAAAAGAGTGACTAATGGAAATTGTTTCGTAGAGTTATATGTATTTTATTTTATGTGGCAGATTTTTTTTTCTCTGAAAATTGAAAGGTGGTTCACGTTGGCTTTTACAGAAAATGGTATTTATGATTGGAATTGTGAAGGAGATGCTCCTAAGGGAAGAAATTTTTCTTGGCTGAATTAGAATAAAGTGATATACAAATTAGGAATGCCTTTAAGCTATACCAAGTATTTTCTCTGTCCAAAGTAATATATATGTTTTTATTTATAAACATGCATTCTCCTGGTTGGATTTGTGGAAGACTGACAAATATGGATTTAAACAATGCAGTTTTTCTGCCTGTCCATCCAAATTGGTAGAGGCCAGAGGTGTCTGCTGTCTCTGTTGCCAGTCTACCCATCCACATTTCTTTACAGACCAAGGGTGTCTGCGGATGTGTCTTCCTTCCTCTTAGAAACAAATGCTTCCAGCGTGAGGGGAAATAGCGGATACAACCGTTCCTAGATTCAGGTCTATCTTAGGGATGTGCATATGGGTTATACGACTTTCTATTTTCTACCTTCCCAGATGATAAACAGCATAAAACCCAGGGATAGGAGAAACTTGGCATGATTGGACGGTGAGTCAAATCCTTGAACAACTTTAAAAAATATTTTAAAACTTTTTCAAGAAGTTATCAGTTTTTCAGTACTGTTTTTCACAGTAAACAGAGGAGGATAATGAACTGATGTTCTGTCTTCTTGTGGTGGCATCTAACCTGGAGTCCCTGGGAGAGTGGAGAGTCATGACAAGGGCGGATAGGATGACTCTCTTCTGGGTATCTGTCAGCCATTTGTAGCAAAAAGTTTACATAAGTGAATTGCACTTTTCTTCTTATTAGATCTAGTTTGTAAGAGGAAGAGGGACATTTTAGACATATTTCAAAACTGAGTTGCTGATGAGGCCACAGATAGTTGTTCGAGGGTTCGGGGAAATCAGGCAGAGGCTCATCTGTTGTTAATTAATGAAATGAAACTGGGGTCACCAGAGTACAGCAGTGAATGAAAGGTCAGCGAATGGAAAAAACTGTCAATGAAGGAGGATGTCAGCAGAGTGGAACATTGTCAGAGATAAAGATCAGGGAAAATATACTCTTTGGCTGAGGTAGTGTTTTCTGGAAGTGACTAGGAGCCATGGTTTGGGACATTTCAAGCCAGACTGAGCACTATATGAATGGTCTAATTTCAACGAAATCTGTTAAATATTTTAAGGCTATTTGGGTTTGTGTAGAGATTAGTCGAAAAGATTTGTGAAAAAGTTTCTTTTTGGTTTATAATATGTTTTACAATGTGTTATTGCTGTTTTGTTTGGCTTTTTGGTTTTGAAGCTGAATACTAGTTTCTTTCATTTATTTCTGTGCTCTGAGAACTTTCTAGAGCCACACTCACTTCTGGGTCCAGCAGACTTAAAGTGATCGAAGATCTGTGCGCTAATTAGCGGTAGAGCCGACTGGGGTAGCCCAGGCCTGCTGGCTCTCAGTGTGCGATTGTCGCAGGATCGCATCCCCTCTGACAGTGGTTCTGTGGGGGATGGCCTGACGGTCGCCCAGACAGACCTTCAGCTTCGCTACCAACTTGCAAACTGTGGTCGTGAACAAACCAGTGACTGTAGTTACATTTCACCTGGCTCCTCTGTAAACGTTATTGGTTTCGTGCAAAGCGCATTTAAGAGTGTGTGTCTCTAATCGGGTCAGTCCTCATTCCCTTTTTTCCCATTGAAGCTTTTGAACCAGATGGCTTTGGGGAAGCCAGGCTCTTCTCTCCATTTGGGAGAGGCCCACGGCCATCTTCTGCCAGGTATTGAGACCTGGCAGGTCACGGCTGGTGAGGGCGGGACCCCATGGGTATCAGCAGGACTGTCCCCACTTCGTGGAGAGAGTTAATCCTGTGGCATTTAGAGAAGTGATAGAGCCCAGTGATGGAGGGTGCCGTCTCCAGAGCCGACTCCTGGGCTCATATGCCCGCTTGGCCAGTTGTTAGCCTGTGTCTTTCTGAACCTCTATTTCCTTACCTGTAAAATGGGAATAATAGTAGCATCTACCTAACAGGGCAGTTGTAAAGATTGAATAAATACTTGCAAGGTGCTTAGAGCAGTGCTTGTCACATAGTAAACATTCAAGAGTTCTCTGATTACTTACATTTAAAATGGAATTCAAGTGGAGTTTCCTTGGATTGTCTGGTTTCTCTTCTCTGAGAACACTTACTAGAATATTGTTTTGTTGGATTTAAATGAGAGACCATCCCATGAACTATTTTGGAGCCAGGATAGAAAAAAATATGAAAACAGTTCTTTAGAGAAACACCAGAACCACAGAAGTTAATAAAAGTTAAAATTTAAACGCATACAATTAAATTGTAATCACAGTAGTGCCTGTCAGGTGTTTTGTTGGGTAGGCGTAAGACAGGCAGAGAACAGTGAGACTCGGGCACATTGATTGTTAGAACAACTACTTTGGGGAGAAAAATCTTACCTTAAATATCTGTATTATGCAATTAGAGAGACTGAAAAGGAACAAAACACTAATAGAAACAAAATGATAAACTCTAAACAGGGACACTCATATACATGTGCCAGTATCGGCTGACCCCTTTTTGAGATTGTCTGCGGCTTGTACTTGAACCTGTGGGAGTTCTGACTCCATGTCAGTAGTTGCAGTGGCCCTAGCATAGCGTTCCCTTAAGTGTGAGTTCCGTTAGCTATTAACAGATTCTAGGGGGGAAAAAGAAAGAGGGTACTCCATGGTCAAATAAGTCGGGGAACTACTTGAGTTAAATGAAATTAAACCAGTTTCTTTGGAGATACTTTTCAGAGCCTTTAATATGCCGATGTCTGCTGTGGCTCTCCCAGGGAGATACAACACACTGTATTTTTCTGACTTTTTGGACCAGCATCTCAGCTGTCCACTTCCTGCTGGACACCAGTGGTCTGGAGCACACTTTGGAAGATGCACCCTTAGAACCATCGCCTCTTTCACTTTGTGTCTCTGGTGAATCCTAACAGGTGTAGCCACACAATTAGCTGCAGATCAAGGATGGAGGAAGGCCTCGCAGAGGAGGCTGGGTCCTAAGCATATGATCACTCTCTTGAAATAATAATTACTGATACCTATAGAGTGCTTACTGTGTGCCATGCACAAAGTCCCTCAGACATGTTAACTAATTTAATCCTCTTAACAACTCTGTGAGATAGGTCTGATCATTATCCCCATTTATAGACGAGGAAACTAATAGCCCGAGAACTTAAATAGCTTGCCCAAATCAGACAAGTGGGAAGTGGTGAAGCCGGGATATGAACTCAGGTCCAGGAGCCTGTGTTCTTCCTTTCTCTGCTGCATGATCGTGGGGCTGTGTGTGTGTAGTTGTATGCTGTGTGTGCACGCCCAGGGCGGAGCAGTGGTGGTCATCATATTCCTGGATGAGAGAACAGTGTGAAAGTGTGAAATAACAGTGAGTTTCGTGTGGCTGGAGATCATATTTGGCAATGATGAGAAATGAAACCGTGAGTGTGTACATGTACAGATCCCGAGGGCCTCATCTGTCACACAAAGGAATTTGGGGTTTCTATATTGGAGCCACCTGCTCTTTCATCAGGTTACCTTGAGAACTTCAGGAAGCAAGCTGCTGATGAATAGAGACAATGCAGACGCTTGGTCAGGTTGGAGGCTAGGATGCACACTTGTACATTTCAGAGGTGGCACAGTTGTCACCCACTTCCTGCCATCGCAGCCTGCTGCGTTGCGGAACCTGTACTGAGCATAGACGATAGACACAGGGTCTAGCGGCTTATGCTTGAGTTGCACATAACACAGGATGATAAGGGATGATATTCTCCCCCTCGACTCCCTGCAACCCTGCAGTTTTTGAGGGAGTATTTATTTTGTGTGCTTCTGGAAGTGGCCTAAAGGCTAATAGAATGTAACTCAAGGAGATGGAGATAAATATTTAATGAGATTTTAGGGTCTTGTTTAAGGCTTGATTGAAGAGGTAAAATTTGGGCTGCCCTGTCTTCTGATATGACAACGTGTTAATTGTTTTTTAATGAAATAGTATTAAAAATATACAAGTATTCTCTCTGACCCAAATCTCTTTGCTTTCTGAGTTTGAACTTAGTGAGTAGTGAGGGTGTGGACTGCAAGGGATTTATCTGAAAACTTATCAGCATCTGCTTAGTTCCTGGGTTTGGATAGCAAGGGATATTTAGATTGGAAAACCCAGCAAAGACCTTATTCATCTTTTCTTTCCCCAAAGGAGGTGAGTGGCCAGTTCATTTAGAAGTGACAAGATGGTGACTTCATGAAAGTCGTAGAGCAGATCATTACAAGGACAGGACTAGAAAAAACGGAATTCTTCCGAGTCTAGGAATCTGGCCACTAGGGCTTCACACACCCGGAGCAATTAGGGTGTGTTGACACTTCTTTGTAGTGCTCAGCACAATGAGCAGGAGACCCCAGGAATCAGTGGTAATTGCGGGAACTCTGATATAGAGGATATTTATACAATAGGGGTGAGTTTGTGTGTGATACCTTTGAAATAAAAAAACCTATATAGTAGCAACATTTAAGGTTAATACTAGAAAGAATTTTTTTTTAAGATTTTATTTTTCCTTCTTCTCCCCAAAGCCCCCCAGGACATTGTTGTGTATTTGAGTTGTGGGTCCTTCTAGTTGTGGCATGCGGGATGCTGCCTCAGCGTGGCCTGACGAGCAGTGCCATGTCTGCACCCAGGATCTGAACCCAGCGAAACCCTGGGCTGCCGAAGCAGAGCACGTGAACTTAACCACTCGGCCACGGGGCCAGCTCCTAGAGAGAATTTTTAACTTGCTCAATGTTATTTTGAAAAAATAACATCTGGTCTCAGTTCACATTTTTTTATATCCCCATTTTGCTTCTATGCCTGGTTGTCTTGACTTGGTTATTTGCCACTTACTTTAAATCCTAAGTTCCATGAGCAAGCATTCACATGGGGGCTGGGGAGCAGGGAGAAAGTGTAGGATGTGGGAAGATGAAGAGAGCGAGGAGGCAGGGAGTCATTTTAAGTGCGTTCAGGGCTTGCGTACTCCTGTCGTGGCCCTGCCACCAGGACTCGGCGCTGGATTATACGTCACACTTGGCAGCTGGCAGCCATAGACAGGAGTACGTGTGCAGTGGTGTCCACTTGCATCTGTGGGTTTTGGCTTTTCTTTTTAAATAGTTGTATTTGAGTAGTTACAGAAGGGTGACGCTTATCTTTGTGCATGGCATAATTCTATAATGTTTGTTCTTAGGTGGGTTTGCCGAGTTCTCCCGTTGTTTCCCTGGCCTCTGTGAAGGAAAGTCCACTCTAGTCCCCACCTGCATCTCTCAGCCTTGCTTACCTGTTGCCAACATTGGGCCAACCCGAATTCTTCCCAATCTCTATCTTGGCTGCCAGCGAGATGTCCTCAACAAGGTGGGTGCTTTGAAAATATCCTTCGTTGCAAGGTTTATTGTTAGCAGCTGGAGAAACGGCGCTTGCCCATTAGCTGTCATTGCAAACACACTGGCTCACAGAGAGAAAGTACACCGTCCTCAGTGTGACTCCTCAGTGTGACTCCCCAGTGGGCAGTTGCATCATCCTTTGGAGTCTGTTTTGTTTGCTGCTGTTGATTGCCATCGGAAACCTAAACTGCCGTCGTATTTGCTTGTTCCTCATAGGTCCAGGACACCTGGAGTAGGACAGGATTCTTCAGAAGTTTAGCCTTATCTTCTTAGGGTATTAATTGTTCTATTATAGTAGTCGGCACACTTGCCGAGGCTGATACTTCCCAGGTTATTTCACACTTAGAAATGTATTTATTTACTGCAGCGCACTAGGAACGGACTCACATTGGGCTTGGATTGAGGAGGACCTCATGATGACCATTGGCTGGGGCGGCGGGGCAGGGGGAGGCGGTAAGAAGATGGTTAGGACAGGGGCTGAGTCGTTACTGCAGGCCGCCCTGTCTGAAGCTTGTCAGAGCAGTTTAGTGGAGAAAGAAGAGGGAAGAGCATGGGTTCTTGCTTGAAAGGACGTGGGCTATATTAAATAAGGTGTGCCCAGTGCAGGACCAATACTGATGGAGGCCCGTGTGTATAACGGTACCAGCGTAACAGGAGAGCTGAAATCCGTCTGCCTCCGCGGTGTCATGCTCTTAACCAGCAGTGCTGGAGAACAGTGCTCTCACTGCCTGGAAAAGTGATTTTTCTCTAAAGCCTCTAATTGGAAAAGCAATTGAAGATCTTAATTCAGCTATTGATGATTTACAAGTGCTGCTTTCTTTCCTGTGTGAAGGGCAGTACCTTAACATTTTCTCCTTGAGTCACCGAAAAAATTGGGCTGACTGTAAAATAAGCTGCCAGATTGGCTGGTTTGAGCACACAGAAAGCAAAAGTACCCTATCATTGGGTAGCAATGAGGCATTTTTTCCCTCTTTTTTGTTCTCAGAACTCCTGCCTCTTCAGAGTTTTGCCTCGACGCTGTTGTTGCCACGTCTGCTCTCACTGTCAGGTTTGACATCTGAGAGCTTATGGCTGTGCTGAGCCTGTGGTGGGGTCCAATGCCTCAAGCATGTGATGATGATTAATTCTCTTTTAGAGATAAGCAAACTGTGTCACAGAAAGCAAAATTAATTTCCTAAAGTCACATGCATCCCTGGGACAAAGCTGGAGCTGCTTCATTTAAAGATTTTATTTTTTCCTTTTTCTCCCCAAAGCCCCCCGGTACATAGTTGTGTATTCTTCGTTGTGGGTTCTTCTAGTTGTGGCATGTGGGACGCTGCCTCAGCGTGGTCTGATGAGCAGTGCCATGTCCGCGCCCAGGATTCGAACCAACGAAACACTGGGCCGCCTGCAGTGGAGTGCGCGAACTTAACCACTCGGCCACGGGGCCAGCCCTTGGAGCTGCTTCATTTAATCCTCATATCAGAAAAATAAATAAAATGAAATCAAATTCTTAGTTAAGGATCCTGTTCAGAATTACCCCCAGTCAAACTTAACCAGTTAGCAGGTGATTTTACAAATAATTATGTTACAGATCATTTCTGTTACTTTTTCTTTTAAAGATTTTATTTTTCCTTTTTCTCCCCAAAGTGCCCCCGGTACATAGTTGTAATTTTTTTTGAAGAAGAAGAAGATTAGCCCTGAGCTAACTGCTGCCAATCCTCCTCTTTTTGCTGAGGAAGACTGGCCCTGAGCTCACATCCATGCCCATCTTCCTCTACTTTATATGTGGGACGCCTACCACAGCATGGCTTTTGCCAAGAGGTGCCATGTCCACACCCAGGATCTGAACCAGTGAACCCCGGGCCCCCGGAGGGGAACGTGCTCACTTAACTGCTGCGCCACCAGGCCGGCCCCATAGTTCTATATTTTTTTCAGTTGTCGGTTCTTCTGGTTGTGGCATGTGGGATGCCGCCTCAGCATGGCTTGACGAGGGGTGCCGTGTCCGTGCCCAGGATCTGAACCGGCGAAACCCTAGGCCGCCGAAGTGGAGCGCGTGAACTTAACCACTTGGCCATGGGGCCGGCCCCCCATTTCTGTTACTTTTGACATTAAGTTAAATGGCACGTTCATTTGGTATATACTTTTTCCAGGTTTAGCAAATGTGTCAATTAACAACTCCCTAGGCGCCTGCAAGGTGAGAGCAGTTCAACCGGAACCTGGAGTTGAGTGAGGGGAGGATAGTTGTCTATTTTTAATTGGCTTTTAAATTATATTAAACAGGATACATCCATAGATGCATTGAGAGGAAATGGTTGTAGGGTTTATGGAAGTTCATGGGGAAGACAACTTGGACGAGGAGTTGTTACAGAACACAGTCAGAAAGCTTCTGTCAAACAGGTGCGGTGATGGGACAGTGAGATAGGAAGGCACCCATAGGCTGGCGGCTTTGAAAGCAGAGAGTAGCAATTTATATTTAATCTCTAGATTCATGGTTGAAGAGAGTCTCAGTGCTGAAGGGGATGTTAGAGGGCACTTAGTCAGCCTCTTATATTCAATGAATGAGGAAATCGATATTCCAGAAATGTTAAGTGAATTCTGCAGCATCTCCCAGGGGATGGTGAGTTTCAGACCCAGGTTTGCCTCCATTTCACAGATAGTATAGACTGCAGTTCCTGTCCCACACTCTGATTTACGCTTTCTAGAAGAAATAACATGCATCTTGTTTTTCTTAAAGATATCCAAAGATGAAGATTTTGTAACCTTTCTAATAGTACATTCCTTTTTATTAAAATTTAAAAGCCGAAGTCTTTAAAAACGGCAACCACAAAGCCACTAATTTTATTACTTTTTTTTTTAATAAAGTGCCACCAAAATATCTTGAAAGCAGGTCACAGATATTTCCTGAGGAAGATCATAATACTTACCATTTAAAGTGCTGGGTTCTTTATGTTACTGCCTTTAACTCTCAGGATAGCGTAGGAGCAGGTTGGCCCTGAGCCGTCCGTCAAGTCATGCACCCAAGATCTCTTGGCTGGGAAGTCACTGACTTCAAAGCTGGTCAGTGGCAGGGATCACACTCAAACCCAAGCCACTCTGGCTTTAAGCCCTGTGTTTATATAACACCAGAAATACTCATCTTCTGGAAAAGGGAACTCTCTGTAACAGGCTGTTAGGAAGGACTGACAAATCTTAACAGTATGTTGATCACAACTGAGATTTTCTTTCCCTGGTTTTCCACAGCATATTCTATACCATCACTGTCCAATAGAAATGTAATGTGGGCCCCATGCATACGTTAAAATGTTCCAATAGTCTCACTACAAAAAAATGAAAAGAAACAGGTGAAATTAATTTCAAGGACATTTTATTTATCACAATATATCTGAATATTATACTTTCAACATGCAATCAATATAAAAAATGATCACTATTTTTACTTTTTTTGGACTAAGTCTTTGAAATCTCATGTGTGTTGTGTAGTCGCTGCACATCCCAGTGGGGACTAGCCGCATTTCAGGTGCTCAGTACCCCCTGTGGCTTGCGGCTGCCATGTTGGACAGTGCAGGTCAACATTCTCAGAGTGTCTCTTTTTTTTTCTTAAAGATTGACACCTCAGCTAACATCTGTTGCCAAGCTTCTTTTTTTTTTTTTTCCTTCTTCTCCCCAAAGCCCCTACCGGTACATAGTTGTATATTCTAGTTGTGGGTTCTTTTAGTTGTGTCATGTGGGATGCCGCCTCAGCATGACTTGATGAGCGGTGCCATGTCTGCGCCCAGGATCCGAACTGGCAAAACCCTGGGCCGCCGAACTGGAGCATGCGAACTTAACCACTCAGCCACGGGGCTGGCCCCTCAGCGGGTCCTAATTTTTAGATTTCAAAGATGTGGCTGTTCTGTGAAAGACCATGAGAAGTCATTGGTAGCAAAAAGAATACTTTTATTTTCCTTTTCCCTTACAGCTGTCCTTTTGTTTCGCACAGTCTGCTCTTTGATCCTCTAGTCTTTGTACTAGAGTCGGAACAGGAGCACTTGTTATACTTGGTGCCCGTTCACATCTGAACTGAGTGGGATTTGAGCGAGAATCTCTAGTTACTTTGTGAAAGACAAAAGTTCTTGATCGTTTTTCTCCTGTATCACTGAAAGTGTCAAGTAGGGACTTCTGTCCCACACTTGAATACACATACTGTGTGACGGATCACCTGCTGCGAGTCGCGACCAACGCGGAGCTGTGTGTGCGGTGAGACCCGTCAGCTCTTTCGCTAAAGCAGGCCCGTCGCCCCCTCGTCCCCATTTTAACCGTGTGCTGTCAGCCTTCTTTATGTAGCTTCTTATTTCAGTCTTTTTAACACGCAACTTGGTTTTCCGGTGCGACCTTATTGTTGTGCTCCCACTAGGACTGCTGCTACTTTGTCTCTTGTTCTTTTAGGAGAGTTAGGCAATGGCCTAGACACTGGATAGCCAAATACCGCTTTCAGGTTTTCCATAAGACCTAGGAAGACAAAAGGTCATCACAGTTATCAGTAAAAATATTTATTCACTGTCCACTGTGTGTAGAACACCACACAGGGTGCAAGTTGGTTAGACGAGGCCTGTTCATTGAACAGTAATTCACAAGACAAGGTGACGGACTCAGAGTGTCACCCCCGATCCTGAGGCAGCTCTGCGTCACAGTTGAGAGGCAGCTTCGGAGCTGGGCAGTTTTTCGTCCCAGGTCCCCACCTTACTAGCCGTATCACTTTAGCCAAGTTACTGAATCTCAGTTTCTTCCCCTACAAACTAATGATTCCTGCCTCCTAGTGTTCACGTAAGGTTCCGATGAAATGACGTATGCCAAGCACTGAGTACGGTCCCTGGTTAGTAGGGACCCTCGTTACTGTCCTAACGAGGTGGCATGTACCAGATGCTGGCGTGAGCAGTAGACACAGTGGGTGCGGTGGGCTGAGGAATGCTGGAGGGAGGAAGTAGGACTCAAGGGTGGCTGTGAAGGCAG